ATGCCGTATCAGATGGACTGGTTTAATCTGTGCTCCTTGCATCCTATCCAACTTCCTGCTGATACATCTGACAGGCAGCACATGAAGACTCAAGTCTAGACTCCTTATTAACCGTGTAGGATAATCAGATGGCTTCCTGGCTGCTGGCTTTGCCTGGTCTAGTCCTAGCTATTTAGGGCATTTGGGGAGAGAACCTTCAGAAGGAAACTCTGTCTCTGATGCTCTGCCTTTCAAGCAAACATTTTAAAATAAACATTTTAAAAAAATAAAGGGGTGCATTTGGCACAGTGGGTGAGGCTACCATCTGAGATACCAGAATCCCATATGGGTTCTGGTTCGAGTCCTGGCTGTTCCACTTCCAATCCAGCTCCCTGCTGGTGGCTTGGAAAGTCCTTGGACCCCTGCCACACACATGGGAGACACGAATGAAGCTCCTGGCTCCTGGCTTCAATCTAGCCTGGCCCAGATCATCACAGTCATCTGGGGAGTAAAGGTCTCTGCCCTTTCCCTCTCTGTCACTCTTTCAAATAAGCAAACAAACAAAAAAAATTAAGTATTTTTAAAAAGAGACAATATAGTTCAAAAACTTAAAGGGAGAGAGAGAGATTGGTAAATAAGTCTGTTTTGGACCACTGGCTCAGTGCAGATGGTTAAACTGCACCTATGATGCCAGCATTTCATATGGGTGCCAGTTCAAGTCCCAGCTGTTCTACTTCTCTTCCAGCTGCCTGCTAATGTTCCTGGGAAGAAACAGAACATGGCCCAAGTGCTTGGATCCCTGTACCCACATGGGAGAATTAGAAGAAGCTCCTAGCTCCTGTTTCTTGGCTTTGGCCTAGCTGAGCCCTAGTCATTGCTAGACAGTGAAACCTGTACACTGAAGAGCTCTCTCTTTCTTTCTGTGCCTTTAAAATAAAACAAATAAGTCTTTAAAAAATACCAGAGTAAATTAAATTCTGAGAGCTGGCACTGTGGCATAGCAGGTAAAGCTGGCACCTACAATGTTGGCATCCTATGTGGGTACTGGTTCAGGTACTGGCTCTTCCATTTCTGATCCAATTTCCTGGTCTGAGAAAGCAGCAGAAGATGGTCCAAGTGTTTGGGTCCCTGCCACTCCTGTCTCTCCCTCTGACTCTGTAACTCTGACTTTCAAAATGAATAAATTAATTTTAAAAATAAGTTCTATATGTTGAATGTTACATACACAAAGGAAGAATGCAAGCAGTGAGCTGGCTGAAAACATTTATAACCCAGGTAAACAAGATTTGGCAGCATCAGAGGAAAACAAATGAAATACCTGAACATACAAAAAATAGTCATACAGACAATATCTTGAAGGCATCTTACACTAGGAAAGACTGAAAACAATTTAGATGTTCACCAATAGTGGAATGACTAAATAAATGACATACTTGTTCAAATAATAGGTTGCCCACAGGAGTTTAAAAGGTGTAGGAAAATTTTTCTAACTTTCAAAACCTCCAAGATCATGATACACTTAAATAGCAGCATGGTGGACTTGTGACTGTTGCTGAAAGACTATACTGTTGTAATAATATGGGGGAAAATAGTAGGGGGTGGGGTGGGATATGGAATGTGAGCCCCTGTGCTTTGTAACTGCATTATGAAACACACGTGCGTGTACGCGCACGCACACACACACATGAAGAAAAAATAATTCAAAGAGGAAAAACAAACAAAAAGAAACTTCCAAGATACAGTGATGCTTTAGCCAGGTACAGAACAGAACTGGCGTAAATTTTACTGATGCTACATAAGTGGAAATAGCATGTACCAAATAAAGTCATGGTTACAAAGAACTTTACCCCCGCCTTACCTCGAAGAAGAGGACAACAGTGAAGAGAAACATTAATTTTATTCTGTATGAGTTGATTGCAAATTTATTCTGCATGCCCTTAAACAGCAGGGGCAAGGAACAAGCCTTAGACTTACTTCCTCGCGTGCTAAGCCTTTCCTCACCCAGCTCATTAACAGCAGATTTATTCAATGATTTACAATGAAGACACTGTCACTATTGTCCCTCTTTCTCTTGACTTCTAATAGTGAGGGGAATATTTTTCTAAGTAGAACTAGCATCTTTTTGTTCTCTAATTCATCTAAAAAAAAAAGAAGAAGAAAAAGAAGAAAGAAAAGAAGAGGAAGAAGGAGAAGTATGTTTTTGTCAGTCTTGACCAATGTCAAAAGTCTTGGTGGAGTTGAGGGGCCTGGGGACTTCCTCCACGCCCTGGGAGCTCTCTCCAGGAGCCAAAAAATAAAAGAGAACATCTGTCCTGCTTTTGGTATTAATGGGAAGACATTACTCCCACTGCCTGGTCAGAGCCTGGCACACAGTGCTGTGATTAGGTTATTTCTTGAATTAATTAACAAAGAAGAATTCCTCTAAGATCAGAACTCTTTACACCGCCCCCCCCCACCCCCCCACCCCCGGGCTTGGGGATTTTCTGGATTGTCTTGTCCCGAGCGTGGGCAGGCTCTGCAGAGCTATTCGGAGACAGGGCTCAGGAAATTCGTGTTCAAAAGTTTGTTCAGAAATGTCTTAAAAGATATTAGTGGTAAAGGATTTGGTAAATATTCCCGAAGAGTAAAAGAAAATTATCTCAGAGTTAGTTGTTCTCTAGTTGCTATCTCCTTAGACAGAGAATTATCTAAGACCAAGCTGTTTACACACTGTGTGCGTCTGGACTCAATTTTTGTGTTACACTGGGGGGTGGGGGAGAGAAAGAAAAGAAATTACTGAAAATTCACGAAGAACCGAACTAAAAAAAAGGGGGGGGGGAATAATAATGATACATATACTTAAAACCGCTTAATCCTTTTTTTTAAAATCGCTTACTTCTTACTTGAATACCTAAACTAGTGGACCAAGAAACTTCAGAAATTCCTGGATACGGAATTAAAAATATGTTAATTAGGGTGCAAGAAACCTGAAATCTACCCATACCGGATATTTCAAAAAGCCCAAGAAAAATACGTATTTCGAAACACTTTACATGAATTTCAAAACTTTTTTTTTTACACCAAAATACGTTTGTTTTTAAATTCCGCTTTAGGCGAACATTTTGAATTACCGTCTTCTGGGAGCTCGGGTAGGTGGGGGAGGGGAGCCAGTCCCTTCCCGTCTGGCGCGGCCTGCAGTGCTGGCGTTTTGGGTACCCGGACCCGCTAAGGACCAAGGAGGGTCGCAGTCGCAGGAGCTTCCGTCTCAGACTCTCGCAGGCGGCCTCCAGGTCGCCACACCCGACCTGCCAGGCGCACGTTGCAAGGGAAGCACGAAAATGCTCGGGTCGGAAGTGCCCTTGCTCCGCTCCGCGCAGAAAGCCTTCAGCCTCGCAGCCTCGCAGCCTCGCAGCCTCGCAGCCTCCCAGCCTCGGCTGGGCTTGGAACCCTTTCCGCTTTCCTACCCTTTCTCTCTTTTCCCACCTTTGTCGGCTCGGGTCTCCGCTGGGGTCTGCGCAGTGGCCGCTCCTCCGGCTACTAGCCGGTCCTTCTGAGACGCAGGTTCGTGCCACGCGTTCGCCGGCCCGCTCCCTCCCCAGTCCGCCGGACTCGGTGAGTGCGTGCTCGGCGCACTCGGCGAACGCACTTCGGGGCTGGGCCAGCCGAGCTCCCTGCAGCGCCCGGGTAGACGCGCCCTGCTTGGCAAAGGCGCTGGGCTCGGTCGCAGGCGCCCCCGCGCTCCTGAGGTGCCCGAAGCGCACGCGGCCGTGGATGGAACTCAAAAACTATGCTAAGTGGAAAAAAAGGCAGATGTGAAAAATTGTGTGATTTTATGTATATGGTTGGTCTAGTGCGGGTAAATCCACAGAGAAAAGATATGTTAATTATCAGGATTCCGCGAATAGAGCCTCTTTTGGAGACGATGAAATGTTTGGGGACTAGATGAGAGTGTTGGCTGTACGACATTGTGAACGTGCTAAATGCCCTTAAGTCATAGAGTTTAGAATAGGTAATTGCTTTTTTTTTTTAAGATTTATTTTATTTTTATTGGAAAGGCGGATGTACAGAGAGGAGAGATAGAGAGGAAGATCTTCCGTCCGATGTTTCACTCCCCAAGTGAGCTCAACCGCCGATGCTATGCCGATCCGAAGCCAGGAGCCTTTTCCGGGTCTCCCACGCGGGTGCAGGGTCCCAAAGCTTTGGGCCGTCCTCGACTGCTTTCCCAGGCCACAGGCAGGGAGCTGGAAGGGAAGCGGGGCCGCCGGGATTAGAACCGGCGCCCATATGGGATCCCGGGTGTGCAAGGCGAGGACCTTAACCACTGTGCCATCGCGCCGGGCCCTAGAATAGGTAATTTCATGGTATATGGAATTCTTTTCAGTAGAGACTCAGAACTAGTAGCACACTGAAATTCTAGCCTGGGATAAAGCAGTATAGACAGGAACCAGCCACAGCTGAAATTTCAGTCAGATCCTGGCAGCTTCCCCAGTCTGGCAAATTGGCCAAATTTGGAGGAGAATTACTGGTAAATTCTCAGAGCAACTAAGTTGCTGCCAGTGGATCCCAACATACAGAGCTGGGGTCAAGCATCCACCTCCATGAGGCCCCAGCTGGCCACAGAGTGGAGTTCCAAAGTCATGGGCCTGGCCCTGGACTTTGGAACTCCCTGGCAAATGCCCCAAACTTTCCTCCGAGGGCCGGGGATGGAGGCACTGTAATGACCGGGAGTTCGGGAGTTCGAGCTGACCTCTTCCTGGAATTTCCAGTCATCATTTAAATTGCGTTTCATCAATGATAAGACCTAACTTTGGCATTCTGTTGCCTCTTAACAGTCCCCAGTGTGTCATATTCTGATTGCAGTGTTTTTCTAAGAGGAATATAAACTAATGATGTGACAAGTTGCCTTCAATTGAAATAAAAATTTCTAGTTATGTGTTTTGAATGATTATTACTTGCTATCTGCCTTCCCTGTTTCGCTTCTTACAGAGTATTATGATAGGTGCTTACTACAAGTTAATTGAATAAATAAGAAAATGAATGCAAAGTATAGTCTTCTTAATCTGAGTGTTAACTACCAACTGCTCGCAGTTGGACCCAGGAAAAGCCACAACCCCTTTTAAGCTTTTCTAATTCATAAAGAGTAAGGTCAGGAGCACTGGGCAGCTGTGATACTCCATAACAGAAGGTATACACAGGTGGGTAAGTGCTCCAAGCCTGGGTGGTCAAGCTGGAATCCGCCAACCCTGGAAAGAGCAGGTACAGACAACACTGTTGCTTTCTTTTTAAAACAAGTTCTTTATGGAATTGTATAAACGGGAATTGACAAAGCAAGGGAAGGCAAATAGAGGTTTTTTTAAAAAAGCATTTCATTTTTTTTTTTTTTTAAGTTGGAACTAAGAAAGCAGGGGAGAACAGCGCGAGGTGGGGATGGTTGCAGCTGTGTTCCAACTTCGCATCTCAGGGTAGCCAGGTCTCAGTGATTTTTTTTTTTGGAGTGGTGACCATCTGCAGAGGGAGGAAAGAAAAGCATTAGATACCAGAAGTCCACGACCTATGGTCTTTCCACCCAGACACCATCAGATACACGGGCACACATGTGTGGCTTTTGTCTGCCTGTGTCCAACGCACAGGACCCACCTGCGATAAGTCCTAAACCCTGTCAGCAGCCACCGCACTCCCAAGCCTGCCAAAGTGCCTCCGCCCGCCTGGTTCTCTGCCAGTGTGGAGGAACCAAAGGCTTTTTCTTCTTCCCTGGCTGTCCAGGCTCACTGCCAGGGCTGGGTGGGGCGGCAGGGGCGCTGAGGCTGTCCCATCTGTCTCCACACGTGTTCCGTTCTCAGTGCAGGGTAAGCCAGAGAGCTACAAGCAAAGTGAGCCCCCAAATCTGGAAAGCTGGATCTAGGAGAAACTCGGGTTTCAGTTTCCCTTCCTCTGACTCCTCTAATGGCTTCCTGTCATTTCTGGAGCAATATGGCTGTTCCTTTGCCATACAAGATCCCTCCACGACCTGACTTCTCTGCCTTCCTCTCCATTCTCCTCCTAAATACGTTGCAGTTCTCTGCAGCCCTCCATAATCTCCTACAGTCTACAAACTTCAGAATCACTCCACCTACCTCCATGACTACTTGTTTTCATAGAAAACTTATTCTCCACCTTTTAAAATTATATATATAGTTATAAAGTATATATATAGTTATATATATAGTTATATAAAGTATATATATATATATACTTTAAAGTGTTACAGAGTGAGAGGCAGAGTTCTTTCATTCACTGGTTCATTCCTCAAATTGCCAAAATCCCTGCCTGCTAAAACTGGAAGGTTCAAACCAGTCTCCCATGTGGGTGGAGGGGGTGCAAGCATTTGTCTGCTGGTGTTTTCCCAAGCCATTAAGGAAGCTGCATCAGAAATCAGAACTGGATCAATCGGCATCTGTAATCATTGGCTGTCCTTATGCCCTGATGTCGACCCCTGGCTGACCACTCTTCAGCCCATCTGCTTGTTCGCACTTCTCCAACACATTGGTTTTCACTCACCCACTCTCTAAGAATATACTCTTAGTATTTATGGAAGTATGCTTTACAGACTGTAAGCTCTATGAGGGCAGGACTCTGATTTTTATCTCTTGTTTATCCCAGCAACTCACAATGGAGCTGATCACGTAGCACACGTTAAATAAAGATGTCCCCCCTTTTCCATATCCCTACCTGCCTATCTGCAGATCCAACCATTCCTAGATGGAAAATATAATTGGACCTACGATGATTTTATCTGTACTGAACAAGTGCAGACTTGTCTTCACATGTTCCTCTAAGCAACATTATGCCACCTAAATTGTATTTAGAGGTGATTTAAAGGATACAGGAGGATGAGTGTGGCTTGCCTGCAAGTAGTAGCTGAAAGCATCAGAGAATTTTGGTGTCCACGAAATTGGTGTCTTGAAGGCAATCCCCCACCCACACTTAGGGAAATGATTGTTAGTTGTGCATGGAAAAGAGGGCTTAGAGAAACAAACAGAGAGGAGGGAGCGAATGTTTGATTTGTTTATTGAAGGTTGCTCACTTAATTGATTTGCCTTGGAACAACTATTCTCTCTACATCTCAGCTCTGCCTGGCAACGCTTCTATGATTGGCTCCTGGCTCTACTTCGGGTCCAGGACGCAAGCTGTGGTTGGAACACAGAGGGAAGGCCACTGAAGTAGAACTCACTTCTTAAGGCCAGTAGGGTTCTGCACTCCGCTTTCGCAGCGCCTTTCACTAAGCCCGCCCACACCTAGATTCTCCACTCTACCTTCACTCCACTCCTTGAGTCCCAGGGAGCCCAGCGTCTAATTCTGAGCCAACATGGATTTCAGTATCTTTAAAGTCATATATTACTTTAAAGGTTAACATTAGGGTCATACACAGCCTCTTATATTTAATTTAAAAAATATACCCGGAAAGCTCCACACTTCGGGTATACACACAAGTGGGGGGAGGGCAATAGGGCTGCTGGGGTACGGGATGGGGGGTGGATTCAGGTGCGCGAGGCAAGGAGGGCCACACACCCATTTCTCTATTTCATTGATCTCTCCAAGAAGTTGAAAGCTTAAGTGGAAAGGGGGAGAGGTAACGTCTATGTCTCCCATGGTGTGCAACAAGTTGGGTGTGCAGTTTGACATAATCCATTTTAGAGACTGTAGACCCCCTTGGCAGAGTTCTGGAAAATTACAATTCTCTGCCGCATAAAGCGAGGATCAGATTAGTATTCATTAATAGAACTGGGACCGCCGGGAATGACGGGAATGACGAATGACGCATCTCTGGAACGCACCGGCACAACTGGTTTTGGAAGTTGTGGAGCTGGTCCAACTTTGTGGCGATGCTGATGGGGAACCTGAAGCCAGGTGAGAAGATAGGGCTCACTAGCTTGGCAGAGAAAGATCCGGACCTTTATTCTCCGAGGTCTCTAAACACGCTTCGCAGTTTGGCCTGTAGCTATGGTGAGGGTGTTAATTTGAGTGATGGTGGAGGAGGCGTTACGGAGTACGGGATGGGTTTTCACAAGCCTAAAGAATCCTCGCTGCCTCTCCAAACAGACCTAATAGACCTTGCCAAGAAAAGACTGGAGTTTCGACTGGGATTGGGCTGTAGCATCAGACTCCGGACCCTGTTTCGCCAGGGCACTAAGCTTCGACCTTCGAGCTCAAATTCTTGGATCGCGTCCTCACCTCAGGGACTTTCCGCGGCCCTAGCGCTGGCGTGGAGACCGCCTTCGGAGTCCCCCGCGGCCGCGCGCAGGTACCCTGCGACGTCGAGGTGGCCCTTCTCTTCAGCCAGGTCCACGGGCAGGCGGCCCCACGCGTCGCGCACGTCCAGCCGCGCCCCGGCCCGGTGCAGCGCCACCAGCGTGTCCAAGAAGCCCTCCCGGGCGGCGTCGTGCACCGGTCGGGTGAGGGTGACCGGGTCGGCGTAGTTGGGCTCGGCGCCGTGGAGCAGCAGGAGCTCGGCCACGCGGGTGTTGCCCATCATCATGACCTGCGCGAGAGGGAAGAGCGGTCAAGGACAGGGTGGGGGCAGCACTAGTAGGAAATAAATCTTCTTTGTTAAGTATCCCATCCTAGGCAGACAACAGTGCAAGGCACTATGCATAACTTCTACAGTTCTCCTGCCCAATTTCATCTTGAGTACACATTCAATTGCAAAGTATTCTCTTCAAACTTTTACGGAGCTCTAGTCTCACGTGGAACGTTACCAGAGACAAACAAAACAAAAAGAGTGAGAGGGAAAGTGTTCGTTTTTTTCTTTCAATATATATGTATTTTAAAATAGATATGTGTACACACACACACACACACACACACACTATTATCACTTCCAACTGTCTATATTTTCCCTGTCATTTTGAGATGGAACTATATTAGGCATGAAAAGTTGTAGTACATCATTAGGTATCCAAGCCAGGACATGGTAATTGTGAAAAATTTTAAAACCCAACAATCACTTTACCTTTTTTTCACTTATCTTCCTTGAGTGTTAAAATTCATTTCCTTCAGGTATAAAATGTAGCTTATCATACAGTTGGTCCTAAACTTGTCTGTACTAAGTGATATAAAGCTCTGCAAAAGATGTCCCTAAAAATTCTTTATTTTAGGCCTTTTTGTTTTAAAGTGCACAACACATTATCATTATCTCTAGCTGAGCTACATAAAGGAAGGACAGTTATTCTGAATCTTTGAGGAGCATCCCATGAAACTCCAGGTAGCCTTTATAAGGCATAGTCAAAAGAAGTAAGCACGGGTATGGAGAACAGAGAAGACTCAGGAGCTGCGAGCCAAGGGTCACCAGAGGAGGAAAAGGCAAAAAACAAATCCCCCTAGAGCTTCTCAAAGGAATCCCATGGCTCCATTTTAGCATCTTGACCTCTACGACTGTAAACAAACAAACAAACAAAAAGTAATTTTGGCTTTGCTTTAGCCACTGATTGGGATGATGTATTACAGAGATGGGAAAGGAAAACACTTACGATCTAAAACTTGCTAATTTCTTATTCCTGGACCACTACAATTTACAGGGCAATATGTCAGTTGTAGTAAGACAAAGTAGCAACAAATTTCTTTTTTTTGTTTGTTTGTTTGTTTGTTTTAGGATTTATTTATTTTTATTGTAAAGTCAGCTATACAGAGAGGAGGAGGAGAGACAGAGAGGAAGATCTTCCATCCGATGATTCACTCCCCAAGTGGTCACTTCGGTGCTGCACCGAAGCCAGGAGCAAGGAACTTCCTCCAGGTCTTCCACAGGGGTGCAGGGTCCCAAGGCATTGGGCTGTCCTCAACTGCTTTCCCAGGTCACAAGCAGTGAGCTGGATGGGAAGCGGGGTGGCCAGGATTAGAACCGGTGTGCATATGGGATCCCTGCGCTTTCTAGGTGAGGACTTGAGCTGCTAGGCCACCCGTGCTGGCACACAGCAACAGATTTCAAAAAATAATAATAATAATAATGAAAAGCAGAAATGTGTATCGGATTAACACTACATCACATTAATCAATAGCTGCATTTTGGGGGGGGGGGCAACTTTATGACAATCCTGAACAAAAAGGGTTTCTTGTTTAAGCTGCAAAAACTTCCCTATGAATCATCATTCTTTCCGTGGAAGATTCTAAATTTGCAAAGAATATCTCAAAGGAATTTGGAGCTTTTTGAACAGCTTTTTGCCTGCTCTATCTTCTGTTGAGAACTGTAATCATTTTCTGCTGTTTTTCAAACTTTACCCTATCTTGTTCATCACTTCTACCACCAGATCTGTAACCACCACCTGGGAACTACCCCAGCTTCTTCCATCGAAACTATCCCTTTTCATGGGTCTGTGACTGCTGTTGTTCACTCTGATTTTTCAAAATAATTTTCACCACCACCTGCAATATTTTCTCCTTTGTTGTAGCTGTCATTTCCTCCTCCTTCAACCTGTCTGCCTTCTTGGCTTCTATATCCTGACCCACTTTCACCATAGTTTCTTCTGCTACCGTAACCAGGATCACCACCATAGTTGCATCCACCACCTGCAAAATCATCTCTCTCTAACCTTCCTCTGCTGCCTTGTCTCTACCACCACAGCGTCCTCTCCCACCAAGGTGTCACCATGGCCACTTTCACTTCACGACAATGCCCATTAATAGTTTGGTTTTCTTTCCCCCTCCATCCCCAAGTTTCATAACTTGTTTGGTCTTAATCTTCCCACACTTCACAAAGTAATCTCTCAGATTCTTCAGATTCTTCTGTTAGTGCTACCAGCAAGAATCTCTTTCACTTACATAACACACAAGACTTGACAAATCCTCTCTGGAAACAGCTCTCTGTGATTCCACTCTGCGCCCACCACCAGCCTTGTGTTCAGGCATGAATTGCTGCATCCCCCTCCATCAATACAAGAGTAAATCACAAAACCAAAGCTCCTAGAATGTTTCATTTGGAGGAGGCGTCTCTCTAAAATCTGTGAGTGCGCCCCATTTCTCAAAATGTTCTCTTGAGCTCTCCTGTGTAGTTTCAAAGCTCAGCCCATCCACAAACATTTTCCTCAGTAGCGCTGGTTCCTTTGCACAGTGGTCCTCCATTTTGAGGACTCACCTCTTCCAACTGGAGTTCAATAGGGGACTGGGGAAGAATGGAAAACACTTCTAAGCTTATGATTTGAGAGTCGGTTAAGCAGAAAATGCTTGCCTCTGATTCTTAAATCATCTTTGAAATGAAGCCATTTCAAAGAGTAATTTTAAAATGATGTGCAGGATCTTAGCAGCTTTCCAAGTTGATGTTGAATGGAGGTAAGGGGATGAAGACAAATTTTTTAGGGTAATCATTATTTGGTTTTATATTAACTCTGCAATACTATGTTTAGAGAAGTTATTTCTAGTCACATTATGTGAAACACGAATTACTAAATTTGTCTAAATTTAGGAGCCAGATTATACTATATTTGTTGGATTCTGCCCTAAAGAAAGTGAAACTAATTTGGTTTTCAAAAAGATCAAGAAGAAATATAAATACATTAAATTACAGCAACTATAACAAAGAAAAATTAGTGCAACACATTGTTCTGTGTATATTATGAAGACCTTCACTTTGGCCATGAAGTTGTTATTAAATGCTTTTCTAACATTTTATGGTATAAAAAAATTTAAAAGGGACACACTTGTAAATAGCTAAACCAATCTTAGCAATTAAAAGCAAAAAAGAAAATGAATCAAATGAATACTTGAAGGATGATTAAATATATTTAAAAAGAAAATCTGAATTTAGTTATTTAAAATTTCTTCTATCAATTAGGCAGGAATGACTTATTAAACACAAATGTTGATAGGATTCTAAAATGAAAATTATTTCCTCTTTCTCTTTCTTTGCTATTAAAAAGTATCTGAAAACACTTAACTCTATTTTCCTTTTTGTACCTAATCAAATGAGAGCTCTTCTAAAATCCTAAAGCCTGATTGTCTCTGTAATGCTAGCAAAATTTTACAGACATTATATAATGAAGCAGGCACACATTATTACTACCACATTCTCTAGCGACCACCTACCCATGATCTAAGCCGGAGGGCAAGAGGAGAGAAACGACGCTTCTCAACCAGTAATTTAAACCGGATAAAAGAAAAGCTGCCCAGAATAACAGCAGATGCCTCCAAAGGGGCACTGCACATTTTCTGAGCGAGATCACACCAACGCTTCTCTCCATATGTTTGTCTTCATTCCCCAAGCTCTCTTGCAAAGCACATATTTTCCCCAGTCAGAGCTAAACACTACGCAGTTACTTTTGAATACTTTGAATTGTGTGTGTGTGTTTGTGTGTTTTTAAATACAAACCTACTAGACAAGAGATTTCCACAGAAACCCCCCTTAGCAACAAAGAAGATAAAATATCATCCAAGGGTCTCTTGAGTTCGGGGCTAATAAATCCCAGCAAACAGTTTTAAAGGTATATAGTTTTGAAGCTCACGTTTTACTCAAACGCTCGTTAAGTTTTCACATCTGATAAAACATTGAGTTCGATCTTCTAAAGCTGCTACCCTTTCCAGATCTGCATAGCGTTTTAGAGGTCTGTAACGCACGTGCCTAACTCCCTGCTCGCTGGCTCCTCGAGACCCCCGGGGATCGCCCAGCAGCATTGGAATCCCACCCGCACGCGCCAACTCCTCGGTCCAGCACCGAACGATCCCTCTGCCCCAGCCTCGAGGCGCTGCCTGGTCCCCACCTGCCGTGCCCACCTCGCTCTCCAGACCCTCGGGGCGCCCGCTTCTCTCGCCTCACCCACCTGGATCGGACGGCGGCCTAGGCGGTTCGGTGCGTTGGGCGGCACCCCCGCCTGCAGCAGGGCCCGCACCTCCTCCGCACGGCCCCTAGCCGCGGCCGTGGCCAGCCTGTCGGCCGCAGAGCGCTCCATCTGCTCCCGTCCGCTCGACCCTCGCGGCCTCCCTTCCTCCTCCTCAGCCAGGAGCCGCCCCACCCTCGGGTGATCCGCCCGCTCCTCCCGTTTCTTCCTGTCGGGCTGACGATAGAGGCCCCCCGGACTCGGTCCTTAACTCCTCCCGCGGAGGGCGGCGTCTTCCCATCGCAGGGGGCGCCGTTCACGTGTCCCCGAGGAGAAGCCAATGGCCCTGAACACCACGGGAGGGACGGAGGGACGGAGGGACGTGCCGCCTGTGGAGTCGCCCGGGGCTGAGGCTGCTCCGCGAGCCGGGGCCGGAAGCGGGCGGTGGGAGGAGGGCGCCTGGGGGGCCCCCATCACCTGTCCCCTCGCCCTCCCCCGCCGTGCGCCATGCGCCGTGCGCCGTGCGCCGCCGACTCCCGTGCCAAGCGCGCCCCCGAGAGCCGGCCTTCCCCTCCCCCACCGCGTCCACGACCCCTCCCTCCTCCTCCTCCCACCGCTTCAGCAAACAGCGCGGGATTCCTAACGGCCACGCTCGGCGCACGGCGTTCGGCACCACACGCTCAGCCTTGCTTCCTCTTTTAACACGAAGACCTCACAGCCACCCCCCGCCTCACCCAGGGACCCATTTCTGCCCAGCCATGGCCAAGTGTCCCTTCTCTCGGCGCGTGGGGTCCGCCCGCAGCGAGGAGGCACGAACCCCTCCGCCCTTAAGAAGCAGAGCTCGCCTGCTCGCACCGCCCCTCCCCACACGGCTAAAAAACGGATGTCGGGCGCGGGTTTTGTTCACACACGTGGGCAAAGTCCGGTAGAAGAGTGGAAGGGCTGGCTTTGCTATGAAGGCCGGTGAGCACGTGGGGCAGTGGAGACGGAGTCATGGGGGAGGGTGCGCGGGGGGGGGGGCGGGAGACCAGAATCTAACTTGCACTCTCCCCACACTCCCTCATATAGAGTGAATAAACTAGTATAGCAAGCAAAAGGAAATAGCAGGTTAGATATTTTTATGGCATCATCACTTTTAGCCTTTTAAAAATCTGTATTATGTTTTGAAAAACTGGATTGCTCCGACTTTGATGCTTGTTTGAGCACAAACTTAACTCGGCCAGCTGCATAACCCAGCTCTGTTGCATCTCTCAATCCTTGACTGGTTTCTCCAGCAGACCCAGAAGGTCTTTTAGATGTTGTTTATAGGAAAGCATAAATTCGGCATGTTTGGCACTCAGCTTTAAAATGGTGCCCAGAGCTAGTGTTTGGCACCGCGGCGTGCCTGGGTTCATGACTGTTCCACTTCCCGGGCAGCCTACACCGTGGGAGAGAGCGCAGGATACCTAAGAGTTTGCATCCCTGCCATTTATGTTGGAGAGCTGATGGAGTTCCTGGCTGCTGGCCTCCGTCTGGCTCTTCCAATGTTTGGCAGTAGAATCAGTGAAAGCAATATCTATCTCCCTCTCTAAATGAAATATATAAAATCTAAAAGTTAAAAATAAAATGAGTCTGTTATAAAAGCCCACCATGGGCCCAGTGTGGTAGCCTAGTGGCTAAAGTTCTCACTTGGCATGTGCCAGGATTCCATATGGGCACCAGTTCGTGTCCTGACTGCTTCACTTCCCATCCAGCTCCCTGCTTGTGGCCTGGGAAAGCGGTCAAGAATGCCCCCAAAGCCTTGGAACCCTGCACTCACGTGGGAGACCCAGAAGCAGCTCCTGGCTTCGGATTGGCACAGGTCTGGCCAGTTGCGGCCCCTTGGGGAATGAATCAGCGGATGGAAGATCTTCCTTTCTCCTCCTCTCTGTATATCTGGCTTTCCAATAAAACTAAATAATTAAAAAAAAAAAAAAGCCAACGATGCCTCACTGCACAAATCCACATTTCCTGCTAGGCATCTCTCAAGCACCTATAGCAATGGAGTAAAAAATTCAAATTGTGGATTAAAAAAATAAGTTTTTAAAATTAACTTAAAGTAGTTTATGATGAGGTGGAAGAGAAAACATTTGTTGTGTTCACATGAAGGATGGAACAGATACTTGCAATATGTGTAGCTTTTAGGTGAATATGAAAATTGTCACTAAATTAATACGTCTTAATCTTGCGTATGGAAAGACTCCTTTAAAAATCTGCTGAAAGCTACAAATCCTCTCATCAAAAGAGAGTAAGCAATTTCTTTTCTATTATTTCATTTGATGACACAGTTTCATAATAATTTCTTCAGCATGTATGTACATTCATGTACTTCTGAATGAATTTCATGGATTCGGGGATTGCTCTGATAGTTAACTAGGGGTGCCTACACCAAGAATTTCTTCAGCCCTAGTGCAGTGACCGAGACTGCTGGAAGAAATGAAGAGATGGAGCTGCAGGAAAGCCCTTCAGATGCAGCACAGCTCAAGTGGAGGCTGAACGCCTTGCAGGTCTAAGGACCTGGCTTTAGGTGATATATACACACAGCAGTGCTTCTAATAGAGCACTCTCACATGCAGCCTTCTGGTTCTAAAAATGTTCCTATTATACATATTGTGTGAACAGTTAATAATAGTGTGAAAATATTTCCAGGTTTTAAAAAACCCAACACACTCCCAGATCACTATCAGCTCAGATCCAGTATCAACAGTCTTGGAGAAATAAAAAATATAAAGTCCAGGATATTACTGCTGGTTCTGTCAATGTTTGCTTTTATGAGTGTAAATGGGATCAAAATGCACTTGATATTTATTTTCTTCCCTGAGAATACCATGGCACTTGAAAGTTTTAAAAATCTATGCCACGAAATGGGAACCTATCTCAATTCTGATGGGTCATTTATAACAGAGGGGGAAAAAGTAATTTGTTAACATAGTCAAAAACTCCAAATGGTGCGGATATAATGGTGAAGAAGGTAGGGTTTAAAAATTAGTTCTGGGTTCAAATCTTGACTTTTCCACTTATAATTTTGAACAAACTTAATGATTCCAGGCCTCAGTTGTGTCACTTGTATGACTGAAACAATAAAATATTTACCTCACACGGTTATTGTGCAGATTAAAAAAAAAAAACACTGCTAAAGCAAGCGGCGGAGAAGGATTTCATAAAAAAAAGAAAGAAAGGAAGGGGAAAGGAAGAAAGGCAGGTAGGAAGAAGGAAAGGAAGCAAGGAAGAAAATCAAAGCCTTCTATGTGGAATAGAGAAATTGCCAGGATGCTGGGAGCTGAGCCCAGGACTGAATAAAGGTGTAGGAGTATAAAGATAGAGAAGATGGAAGAGAGAACACAGGCACAGGCACACATGCTTAGGAAAATACAAAATTATTAACTGGAATGTATGACAAGAGCCTAAAAAGGAGCCTGCAAAAGACTGCTCCCACTGGGAGACTCAGAAGAAAAAGCAGGAGTGAATGGATGGCAAAGAGCTGGGGACAGTGAACATGGATTACTCTTTCCCAGCTTGGCTGTGATAGTTCAAGCAGTGAAGTAAAGCAGGTGGATGACGGAGATGATCTGAGCATGCACTCTGAAGGAAAAGTGCCAGGTGAGTTGAAGGGGCAGTGGGCAGGGAAAAAAAAAAAGGAGAGATTCAGGACCAGGGCAAGACAATGTGTTTCTGAGGATTCACGGTGCTTAAAGGAAGGGAAGGAAGCAGAGTCCATGGCACAGCAATAGTCATGTATTTGAACAGAGGCTACAGGGAGATTTGGGGAAGAAGGAAGGATGAATCAGAGCACAGAGGTGGTTGAGGTACTTCCTTCCACATACAAGCAGGCTGGGTTGTTAGCAGAGGTGGCTGGCGAGTGACGCGGGAATAGAATTCTCCTTATGAGGAAAGAGGGATGGACCTCGTTGGAGAAAACCTTGACACACCCTACCCCCACCCCCCAGAATGAAGAGTCCGGGCTGAGTGGAGATCATGACACCTACAGGCTCATCCAAATACTTATGGCAATCAAAGAAGATGTGCAGCTCCTATAGAGACTCTACAAATGAAAGAACACAAATAATAGGCATAAATAAAGAGATATTTGAGAAGGCAGTGTTTTGAAATTAGGGTCTAGTTCTGAGAACGCATTACAAGGTTGGCAAGGTGTGATGTACAGTACTTGATGTGCAGTACTTCCTGCAAAAAGAAAGATGCTTTTATTAGGAAAATAAAGAGACATAGCTCTAGACCATGACCAAATGACAGTGCTGATGTAGCTGCTCTCATTTTTGTCTGTGAAAATCTGAGAGACTGTTTCTAACTTCCAGATCTAGAATCTCCAAAATGGACTTTCTTGTTCTGTTCTTTAAACTCCATGGGATGATTATATAAAATGAAATAAAATGTACAAAATTGTTTGAAAAAGTATGCATATATACATGCACATATATCTATATATACCTACATAGAGATATCTTCACCACTTCCAATATTATCACTGTTTAAAATATTTAAGGTTAAGTTTGAGGTTAAAAAAATATATACATGAGATACTGTTAGAAGGATACAGAATAAATGAAGAATTGAGATGCACATGGGATTTTTCCTTTAGTTAGATTTATTTGACATGCACAGTGGCAAGAGACAGAAAAAGAGAAATCTCCACTGGTTCACTCCTCCAGTGGCCACAACAGCAGGGACTGGGCCAAGCTGAAGCCAGGACCCAGGAATTCCATCTGGTTCTCCAATGTGGGTGGCAAGAATTTAAGTACTTGAACCATTAAATGCTGCTTCCCAGGCTCATTAGCAGGCAGCAGATCAGAAGTGGAGTAACCAGGACTTGAAACAGCACTCTAATGCAGGATGCAAGTGTCCCAAGGTGTGATTTAAGCCTCTGCCCCACAGTACCCACCCCATGAGTGACTTTCCACAATCAGAAACTTGATTTTTTTGTACTGTGTGCCCATATTAGTCATTCTAATGAAATAAATGTGTAGACAAATAAAATTTGCTTTTCTCAGAATCATCATCTGTAATTTTTTAATGAAAAATAATTGAGCACTTAATATATGCCAAGCACTTGGCTAAAATGTATGAATAAGCAGAAAGAAAGTTCTGTAATCCACAAA